TTTATTATATAAAATTCACAATGCAAGCAATATAAAATTTTATTCTATTTATGATGTATTTCCAAGGAACTTAAGAAGTGAGTGTGTGTTTGTGTTGTGAAAATACATTTATGTATGTGAAAATGTGTTTATATGTGTGAAAAAAATCTTTTTTGTGTATTAAAATGTATGTGAAAAAGTTTATGTATTAAAATGTATTAATTAATTTGTTGGGTCATATTTGGGTCATGGGTTTGAGATAACCCAATATGACCCAACCCAAAATCAACCCAATCTAAAGTTGGACGGGTTGGGTATAACCCATTTAAGTGAAAACCCAATATTAACCTGCCCAACCGATCCAATTGCCAGGTATAGTTAATCGCATCTAGAATGTTTATGTATTTTAAAAATTATTTAATTAGAGATAATAAATTTCCATGCAAAATTTTAGTATTTTTTATTTATCGTAGAAACTTTCTCAAAGAAATTAGTTAAACAAATAAGTTATGTGATTATTAATTATCTATCATTGTATAAAATTATTATATTCAATTACTCATATATATATATATATTTATAACATTAAGTTACTTTAATTTTTTAAAATGAAAACAAGTCAAATCAAGACATAAAAGTTGCTAGAAGGAACCAGATTGATTTTGATTGGTTAGTTGGAAGAAGATTTGAATGCTAACTAGTTAGGCTCAATTAACCAATTAAGACAAAAAATTCTTTTTAATTAGTTATCCCACATAAGAGAAAAAAATTGATTAATTTTTAACCTTGCTTATACACACGCATAGATACATATTAGAGTTCTGAGATGGCATCGAATCTTTATAAAGGATTTGGCTGGTCCAGTCTTACACTGTTTGACCCTAACTTTCCCCTCTTATGATGAAGTATCTTGCACGATTAGCCTCGACAAAGGACATTACTAGATTTCTACGAATGGCATAGGATCTTTCAAAGGATTTGGCTTAGTCCAATTTTAAACATTTTTGGCCCTAACATGGCCCTCTTACGATTAAGGGCCCGCCTAGGGTCGTAGTTTATTGAAAAGTATTTCTCCCTTGGAGTTTTTAATAAAAGTATTTCTTAAGTGCTTTTAAATATATTGTTTGAAAACATAGCTTAATAAGTGCTTTTTGTATTGAATAATATGTAATTGGAAAATTTTTAAATGTATTTATCTCTTTATTTAGTTTATAATATAGGATAAAATGATTAAATTTAATATTTTATTTTTTAAATCACAAAAAATATTCTAAAAACTTCAAATATGAGCTTTTGCTAAAAATACTTTTCACATCAAAAACTCTATTCCTAATTTTATGGGATAATGTTCACCAAAGGTTTTAAAAGTACTTTTAATATTTAAAAGTACTTTTTTTTATCAAAAGCATCGTAATCTCAAACGAGACCTAAGTATGTTGCATGATTAGCCTCGATAACCTTTTGAAAAGGCATTTGAATTTAGAAATCTACCATAGCCATTACGTTTTAGAGTGGGTATTCTTAGAGATACAGACTTCCTAATTATGATTAGGAATCTTTTATTTTATCATGTCCTCAAAATTATATCCCTTAATAATCCTATCAAATTAAATACATCTGAACCATCACTTGCAATAGTGTCTTCTCATAACAATTGCCAAGGACCCCAATTTTTAACTACCGAGGAAATAGAAATATGAATGCCCACGCACAATGTTCAAGCTAGTACAGTAGTACTGCTATTTCATAATTCATGTCCAATTCAATGGCCAGTTTATTTTTTTCATAGACAGAAGAAACACACACACACAATTAGATTAAAAATGCAATTGCCGGTTTATGAGAAACCACTTTCTACATTTTCACTGCCTATCCCTGATTGACGTTTGGCATATGAGAAATTTTAGTCTTGGTAACCATGCAACACCTATGCGCTTGATTGTTAGAGTTATTTTTTAGATAATTTATCCTCCCATTAAATTAAATTAGCAAGTTAAAATTTTTTTTTAAAAAGTACTCTCCTCTTTCTGTAATGAAAATAATAAAAAATTTAGAGTGTCTCTTCTCCTTTTTATTATCAAGGAAAAAAGTCAAAATATTAATATATTTCTTCTTAGCAATCTTATTAATATTAAAAAAAATAGAAAGATAGGGGGGAGAGAGAGGGAGAGAGGTCAAATTTTTTTTTTAAAAAATACAAATAAGAAAGAATTTAATATTTTTATTATTTTAAATTATTTTATTTTTTGTTTACCACCCAATTCCAATCTTAATCATAATGATGTTAATGTAATACGATAATATTATATTTTTTCTTATTTTCTTTCTTTACAAAATATAATTTCCTCTAGATTTTTCAGATAAATACACATATGTCAATAATAATGTATATCTTAGTCGAGTCCCGTAAGGATTGACCCGGATACTCGCTCCGTCAGCACAAAAAAAAAAAAACAATGATGTATAACTTAATATACAAAAATAATCGTACATTTTCTTGAAATAAGCAAGCTGATCGCAATTTTTTGCGTGCAAAAGCAGTGTACACTGTACAAGGAAAATTGCAATGCGTATGGAACCTTCTTGGTCTGATGGACACATTTGAAAGGGTGGCATGAGTGGATCTCCCAAGTCCTATCTTTCAAAGGATTTGACTTCTTCGACCGACACTGTTTCGACCATAGGTTGCCCCTCCTAGCCGACCAGCTTTGATACTTGAGAAAATAATAAGAATGGGTGGTTTGTTTGAGATTCGGTGGAGTGATTGGCCCAATTTAACGTCTGAGTAGGTTACTTGTGCAAATCAGGCGATGTAACTTGGTTACGTGAAATGAAAGAAGTCCTCAATCACGCTTGAAAGGGAGAAAGAAAAAAAACAAAAAAGATGTTTCCCAATGATTGGCCCTTAACATCAAGGTACCTTTTTTTTTCGGGGTATCTCTTAGGATAAAGGGGAATCATTGACATTAGTTTGCATGAAATTGCATCCAAAACAAGAGGAAAAGTAAAAATTTGGGGGTCATTTGCCCTATGCCTACCGTACTTTGCAGGAGTAATTTGTGGTCAAAGATTCGTTCTAACAACTGGTCTGGCAGATTAGCCAAAACATGAAATAGCCCTTCAATTAAGTTTCTGTTGAGTGAAAAAACATGAAATAGCGCATTCGTTTGATTCGATGGTGATTCAGTCCCATCAATTCTTCAATTGGTCCAGTTGAGCCTCTTCTCCCCTAGAATACGTTAGAAATATGAGTAGGAGTAGATATTGTCCTTTGACAAAAAACAAAAAAAACTTTCTATTGAGTGTAAATCTAATTATATACAATTTTCATGGCGTACCAACGGAATATTCTTACCGGGGCAAAGAATCTAATGCTTGCTTTTAGGGGACACAGTGCAAATATCTCCCATATTTTAGCTGGCGGCGAACTTTGATTAACCACAGAAAATCCAAAAGTCAAAATATAATATACATAAATATCACAAAAAAATAGACGTGCCACCCTCAAAATATACTCCTTCCATCCTAAAAAGAATGTCATTTTTCGAGAATGGAACATTTTATAAACAATAGGGAAAGAGAAGAAGACTGACTTTTTAATTTACTAAAATATTCATTAACACTCAAGCTGTCCAATATTTGTGTAAAGGTAAGCAGTTAAGCTGTCCAAAATGCGTCGGCAATATAGCCAATGCCGTGGACCCCACACATTTAATTAAAAGTGGCAATCCAGTCCCTATTGCGTGCGGCACGTATAATTCCAATCGCTCCGTACTGGCGATGCAGTAGTTTAGTGCGTTCATCGATTCTGATAATCCTTGTTGGACCCACACGTAGTGGAAGTAGCGTGGAGATTAAGTAGAAAAATTTACTTGCTATTTTTGGTAAAATGACACAATTTTGGGACAGATAAAGAAATGAGTAAATTTTAATGATAGAAAATACATCAAACAAACATGATACAGGTACATATAGATCTGAAATTAATAGATATAACAGATCTATGAAAATAATGCAAATAAAGATAATATTGATACTCCTATATATCTTCCATTCGGATGAATCACTGTAACCCAATATATTAGTGCATGTCTGCTGATAATCAAATTTGATTAAAACTGATTCAATTCCAAAGAGAAATTTAAATATGATAATGATGGAGAAATTGCAGATCTGAGAAACTAAATTCTAGATCTACAAAATCTCAAATTTTACAAGGATAAAAATCTAGAAAGCTCTCAGAAGGAAAAACCTAGAAGGGAATAAAACTCACTAGAACAATCTAGTAGAGAAGAAACTCTCACTAGGAGATTCTAGGATAAAAAAATCTCTTATTAGGAAATCCTAAGATAGAATTTATTCAAATAAGAGACACTAAAAACTATAAAGAGTGCTTTCTCCTACGAGAAAAGAGCAGATTTGTAGTTTCTCTCCCATGGGAGAGATAAAAGAAAATCTTGATTGGAAGAGTTCTAGAGAAAAGAGTTTAGAAAAGGAAGAGAAACTTACTCCCTTTTTTGACACTTTTAATAGAATGAAAGAAGTATTAAATATGAATTATGACTTGTGGTTAGATAAAACTTGCCCCTCAACTTAGTAACTGAATGCATAATTAGATAAAAATCATCCCCTTGACATGCTGCACTAAACAAATGCATATCGCCCTTTTATTTTGGGTCGATTGGAGGTTGAAGCCTTGGTTTCATAGGAATATTACTAAATCTGCTATAGGTAACATTTTTTGAATAATTTCAAATTCGACTCTTTTTTTTTCCCGAGTAGGAGAATGGTAATTTCAGATTTGACTCTTTTTTTTTTTCAGTAGGAGAATGGTGAGATTTAAAAAAAAACAAAAAAAAATGAAAAGAAGATTTTAAACTCAAGACCTCTATGTTCTAAGATTCCAATCTTAACTATTAGACCAAACCCTTCTAAACAATTAAATTAGAACTTTGAAGGCTTTCGTGTGAACCATATCAAGTGAGTATTTTTGCAAAGTCAATTTGTCCAGCAGTTAATTTCCGTTGGTTTGTGGTGTGACTGACCATTTCATCACTTGATTGCCATCGAAGGAATCCTTATTGGTCAAAATCCAAGTAAACATAATTTAAGTGAAGCAACTAACTACTGCACCACTACAACTTCCAATCCTGTGAGTTCAAGACTCCAAAGTACAGATTGTACTATTTTGCAGAGGAGGAAAGAGAGAACAAGAAAGATGGGGAATTGGAGAGAAAGAGGTTGTTATACAGAGGTGATTCCTTTCACAGCCATGATTACAGTGGAGTGTATCAACGTTGGTTTGAGCACCATCTTCAAAGCGGCCACCTTAAAGGGTTTGAACTTTCACGTTTTCATGTTATATACCTATGGGATTGCAGCTATTCTCCTCCTTCCTTTTTGCTTCTTCTTCCACAGGTGAACTAGTTCACAAGCCTTCTTCATCTCAATCTTCCATATAACTAATCCAGTAACTTATTCAAACTTTTTTTTTTTTGGGGGTTAAATCTTGACAGGAAATCTGATCTTCCTCCTTTAAGTTTTGGTATCCTTGCCAGATTTTTCTCCCTCGGGATTCTTGGGTATATTTATTAAGCTTTCTGATGTCAACCATGATGATATTCGTATGTAATTGTTTGTCCTAAAGGAGTTTACCAAAATTTTGTTTTGGAATTTTATTTTCAGCTTCGTATCTCAATATCTTGGATACGTAGGAATTGAGTATAGTACTCCAACACTGGCTTCTGCCATGACCAACCTTACACCGGCTTCAACATTTGTCCTCGCAGTGCTCTTAAGGTTCTTTTTAAATTTTCATTTTAGTGTCATTGCATAATAATTGATTTTCTACGGTAAATTCATACTTTATTTAATTCGTCATGTTTTTTAAATCGGGGCTAATATAACTATTACCATTTAAATACATATAGTAGTAATATCTATTACCCCAACTTTTAGACACTTCCACATACAATTTAAGTTATTATTAATTTTTTTTAAAAAAAAAGCGTTGTATCTAAAACCCTCTTTGTCGGTGCCCATCAATTTTCTCTGATAATATAGTAGGGTAACACTGAATTTAAGGCTTCAATACTCTTTTCTTTTGTCGTTTTCATTATAAATAAGGTATATTTTTTGCAAAATTATATTTCTCAACTTAGCAAACTAGACCAACATTTCTTGTCATGATCAGGATGGAAAAGCTAGAAATGAAAAGCTTGAGCACCCAGGTTAAGATAATTGGGACTCTAGTAACGATTGCCGGAGCCCTACTGGTGGTTCTCTACCAAGGTCCTGTGCTGATAAGGAGCCCTACAGCTTCAGCTTCTGTTTCTGAACAACAGCCAGCGATAGCCATGATCACTGCCGGCGCTGAACAATCGGATTGGGTCAAAGGTGGTGCCCTCCTCGCTGCTCAATATGTTATGGTCTCTCTTTGGTATATTTTTCAGGTAACATATTAAAAACCAAAATTGGCATCTTATGATTTTAAAATCCATCATTTTTGTCCTGCAATTGCACCCCTTGAATTCCTGTAAAATATATTTTTTCCCTTCGAAGTTCACGTTACCCCTCATATTCTTGAAGCCTAGCTACTTAAGAAAGATGGCAAATCAGAACGGAAAAAAGTGATTCGAAACAAAATATGGGTTTTGATGACATTTCCTACATAAGAATGAATGTATAATCTTCATTTGGAAAAGTGCTACGACTATCATCTTACAACTCTTTATGATGTTGCATCTAGTTCTGATTTATTATCATTTCCAATATGGTAGTTATAAGTCGTTATCATTTATCATTTAGGCCAAGGCTGTTGCGAGGTATCCAGCAGAACTAGTTGTGGTCTTCTTTTACAACCTATCCTGTATGATCATTGCAGCACCAGTTTGTTTAATCGAGGTATCAAATTCCAGTGCCTGGAACATATTCAAACCTGACGTGCGGTTGTACTCGGTGTTGTACGGGGTAAGTGCATGCACCTAATATATTTTCTACCCTTGAACTCCAAAGTGTAGTTTTGTATTGCGGGCTAATTGAATCCATTACCCACTGCCCATATAGCTAGCTAGAATCAAATTCAATTACCGTGGATCACTACAATCAATAATTTTTCCTTCTTCAGGGACTTATGGGATCATGCTTCGGTGTTCTTGTCCACACCTGGGGTTTACACATAAAGGGTCCTGTATATGTAGCTTTATTTAAGCCACTATCAATTGCCATTGCTGCAGTGATGGGCTTCATTTTTCTTGGCGATGATCTTTACCTTGGATGGTACGCATAATTGTACAAATTAAATTCCCAACACTACCATGCCAGTCCTGGTATTTATTTACACACATTAAATTCTTGTTATATGTATATGGTTTAATTCATACAAAATATTTTAAAATAATATTTTCCTTGCAGCTTGATCGGGTCCTTGATCATATCCTTTGGGTTTTACGTGTTGATGTGGGCAAAAGCACAAGAAGTCAATGGCCAGACATCACAAAAGCGTGCTGAGTTTGTGGAATCTTGCACTGAAAATGCTCCATTATTAGAGGCATACCATGGTTCAACAGGCGAAGAGTTTCAAACTGCGACTGTTTGAATAATTAACCAAACGCAATTAAGTCCACTCCCAATGTGTCTTCTAAGGATGTCATTTTATAAAAATGAAGAAAACCAGGAGACACGTAGGAACTTTTAGAATTTCATTATTTTTTCTTTTTTACAAAACCTGCCAATTGTCATATTAGTGTTCTGTTTCTTCTTTTAAATTTCATCATTTTCTATCTATGTGAATGTGAATTTTCCGATCTTGTTCATTTGTGCATATTTTTAGATCTTATTCCTGGTGTGTGTGTGTATATATATTTTTATCTATAATAGAAATGGTGACTTATATTGTTGCATACTTACTTTGAGGAGGAGTTACTCTCTAGTTTTGATGATGTCAAAAGGGGGAGTGGGGGAAAAAAATGATTCCGGATTAAGTTTATCATGTTTATCTTTGCTTAAGCATCATTAGTTTGTCATTATCAAAAAGGGAAAGAATGTCACTCACGGTAATACCTTAGTTTTGATGGTAAGAAACCAATGATTGCAATCTAATGATGTTTATGAAGTTGCTATCTAGTTGTCTCTAGATGGCCTTGAGGATGCTCACCTCGGCCACCCCGCATGTCCGAGGTGAACCCACCTCGTCCCTCATCAGAGCTCATCCGTGTCTTGAGTATAACCCTTGAGTTCGGCCGGATCCCTAGTCTACCGTTTAGGTGACCTTGGCACTTCTACCTCGGCTGCACGCTGATGATGTCAACCCACCTGACACCACCCAGAACCAGTGTGCTTTATCTGAAAAGCGCACTGGACGCACTTAATGGCCACTGAGCAAGATCCTCCGTCACCCTACCCAGGCGGCTACAGTGTCAGAGTCAGGCCTCCTGACAAGGAACAGAGCCGTAATGCCAGGTCGTGGGTCCCGCCAGCATGAGTCCTCCGTCTTCTCCTATACTCCCGCTCTATAAATACCTCTCACGCATGCCTCCCAAGTAAGCATACTGTTCACTCACTCATACTCTTATTATTCTCGTTCTCATACTAACTTGATCGTCGGAGTGATCCCAGGGGAATAGCCCCGCCTTCCACTTCGACCGTGCAACCTCACTTCATTCCACCCGAGGTGAGATAATCGAGTTCACCTCACCACATTAACGAGAGAGCTGATTTCGGTTGGATTGATTACCCGCAAAAAATCACCTCTTCAATTGGCGCTGTCTGTGGGAAAGAGACTTGCTAAAATGAGATCCACGCGCTCCAGAAGCGGAAGAGTTCCCTCAACCGGGGCTGGGCAGATCTCGGGAGCCCAGCAAGATCGCATTTCTGAAGAGCAAGGGTCCCAAAGGACCCAGCCCAACAACGAGGACGCCATCGCCAAGATGGTCGAGTTCGTATCAGACAACCCCAACATTTTTGAGGAACTAGGAAGGTACCTCAAAAGGCAGGGTAAAGAAAAGGCCGAGTCTTCCAAGAGGAGACCGACGAAATCCCCTGAAGTACCTTCAGGTGAGGACTCCGATGAGGGGCGTCTCTCTCGGAGTACCTCCAGGCGCGCCTCCTCCAAGGCAACCTCCAAAATTGCCTCCATCTCTCGGGCGTTTTCCCGGGGACTACTAGGGAAACAGGCCGAGGACCCACCTCGACGCCCTGGGGCTTAGCTTCTGATTACATGAGGGCTCCGCCCTTCACTGATGACATCAATGGGGAGATGGTGCCCCCGAACTTTAAGCTTCCAAACTTGCACACCTATGACGGCCGAGGTGACCCCGAGGATCACCTCCGCGCCTTCATCTCCGCATTCCGATTCTACTGCGTCCCCGACGCCGTGATCTGTCAGGCTTTCCCCATCTTCCTACATGGGACTGCCCGGAAGTGGTTCTGGAGTTTAGAACCGAGGAGCATTTCCTCCCTGGATGAGCTGATAGACCGGTTCATCCACCGTTTTGTGTTGTCTCGACCAATCACCAAGACTTCAGCTTACCTCTTGAACCTGCAACAGGGTCAGGGCGAGTCACTTCGCTCGTATGTTCAGAGGTTCAACGAGCAGAATGTGCAGATACCTGATCAGAACGAGCAGGTAACCATCGCTGCCTTCACCAACGGGTTAGTTGTAGGGATCTTCAACACCGAAATCCATCGGGATTACCTCCGTACACTTCGGGAACTCTGGGAAAGAGTGGACCAGGGAATCCGAAGTGAGGATGTAAATCGCATGAAGCGAGAAGCCCAAGCATCTCGTACGGGGCAAGATCCCCGGAGGAGAAAAGACACCGGCCGAGGTGAACCAGGCCCAAGTGGCACTTCAAACCAGTTCCGGGACCGCCGGAGTGTCTTCGATCGGATAGTGAAAGGCAGATCGTCCACCTCGGACGCCGAGCTGACACCGCTCAATTCCAGCCGGTCTCACGTCTTGGCGGTGATGAGGCAAAATCACCTCGGCCGAACTCCTCCTGAGATCTCGGGGAGGAGGGATAGGAGGAACTCCAACCTCTATTGTGCCTACCACCGAGATGTTAGGCACGAGACCGAAGATTGCAATGATTTGAAGCGAGAAATTGAGAACTTGATCCGCCAAAGATACTTGAAGCAGTTTGTCCGTAAGGATGGAAATTTCAACCGAAGCGCCTCCCACCGGGAGAGCCGAGGACCCCGCCGAGAAGACAGGCGGGACACAAAACTTCAATGCCGAGATCCCGAGGACCGTAAGGAAGAAAAGAGGCCTCCACGCGACGGATCGCCAGGCTACGGCCCAAATATCGCCGGGGTGATCAACACGATCGCTGGTGGCCCAACGGGGGGAGACAGTCAGAACTCCCGAAAACGGACATACCGCCAAGCCGGTATGGATGTGGCCGAGTCGAGCTCTAGGCTATCCGAGGTGATAACCTATGGTCCCCGTGATCCTGTCCCCGCCGCCTCCAACAACCACGAGACTCTTGTGATCGAAATCCTTACCAACAATTACATAGTCAAAAAGGTCTATGTTGACCCCGGAAGCTCGGTAGATGTCCTGCACTACCGAACTTTCGAGAGTTTGAAACTGACCCGGGAGCAACTCACTCCGGTCAGAACTCCCCTCGTCGGGTTCGGGGGACACGTTGTCCACCCGGAGGGTATGGTGACCTTGATGGTGACTATCGGGCGCCATCCATACTGCCGAACTGTACCTATCAGTTTTGCGGTGGTCAAAACAGACTCTCCCTACCACATGCTGATAGGCCGGCCCACGCTCAACGCCTTGAGAGCCGTATACTCCACCTACCACCTGAGTTTTAAATTCTCGACACCTGCAGGGGTGGCCGAGGTGAGCAGCGACGTGGGCGCCGCCCGAGAATGCTTCCTCGCCACCATTCAAGCGGCAGTCACACCCCGATCCTTGTCGAGGTCAGAAGAAAAGAGGCCAGCGGTCCTCTCCATAGACTGCATCGACCCTCAGAAGGCAGGAGAACCCAACAGGTTTGAACCCGGAGATGAAGTGAAACAAGTGGTCTTGGATGAAGCGAAACCTGACCAAATAGTCCAAGTAGGGGTCGGACTCCCCTCACCCCTGAAAGAAGAAATGATCTCCCTGATCAAGGACCACCGAATCGTCTTCGCGTGGTCCGCAAATGAAGTGGTCGGAGTGCCACTCGAGCTCATGATTCACCAACTCAACGTTAACCCACAGGCCCGACCTGTGCGGCAGAAACGAAGGCACTTCGGCCCCGAACGTAACAAGGCCATATCGGATGAGGTCGACAAGCTCTTGCAGGTCAAGATGATCCATGAGATCCAATATCCCACCTGACTGTCCAACCCAGTCATGGTCAAAAAGGACACCGGTGGATGGAGAATGTGTGTGGATTTCACCGACCTCAACAAGGCCTGCCCCAAAGACTGCTATCCTCTCCCAAGGATAGACACCCTTGTCGACTCGGCGATGGGTTACGAGATCCTTTGCTTCCTGGATGCTTTCAAAGGGTATCATCAAATAGGAATGAGTGAAGAGGATCAAGAGAAAACGGCGTTCTACACCGACCGAGATACTTATTGTTACACTACCATGCCGTTCGGGCTAAAGAACGCCGGGGCGACCTACCAAAAGCTGATCAACCGACTCTTCAAAAACCAAATCGGCAGCAATATGGAGGCCTATGTGGACGACATCCTTGTCAAGAGCTTAACCACTTTGACTTTTCTATCCGATGTGAGGGAGGTCTTCGGCGTCCTGCGGGATTCGAGGATGAAATTGAATCTCAAGAAGTGCGTTTTCGGCGTCACCTCCGGAAAGTTCTTGGGGTATCTGATTTCCCGCGGGGAATCGAGACCAACCCCGACAAGGTCAAGGCCATTCAAGACATGTCTCCACCTCGGAATCTCCGAGAAGTCCAAAGACTAAATGGACGCCTAGCCGCGCTGAACCGCTTCCTGTCCCAATCTGCTGAAAAAGCTCTGCCCTTCTTTAAGGTGATGAAAAAGGCTGACCAGTTCGCCTGGACTGAGGAGTGTCAGGTTGCCTTCGACCAGCTGAAGCAGTACTTGCACCACCTACCCACTCTTGCCTCACCTCGGCCCGAAGAGAGGATGTACCTCAACCTCTCCTCGACCGATGAGACTGTCAGTGCTGTGCTCATCCGATGAGGCTGTCAGTGCTGTGTCTACTACGTCAGCCGAACTCTCCGCGGATCGGAGACGCGATACACTCAAGTAGAAAAACTTGTGCTGGGATTAGTCCACGCCGCTCGGCGGTTGAAGCCCTACTTTCTAGCTCATCCCATCTCCGTCAGGACCGACCAGCCCATCTGGCAGATATTGGTGCGTCCCGAGGCTTCCGGACGCCTCACCAAATGGGCTGTCGAATTGGGAGAGTATGATCTGTCCTACGAGCCACGCACTGCCATAAAAGCACAAGCCTTAGCCGACTTCTTGGCCGAGCTCACCTTCACAGAAGGTCCAGAGTCCACCTCCGCCTTTGCCGAGGTGTCCACCCCATCCCTGTGGACATTGTATGTGGATGGATCCTCTAATGGGGAGGGCAGCGGAGCTGGATTGCTCTTGGAGGGCCCCCAAGGAGAAGTGTGCTCGTACGCCCTCCGATTTGGCTTCCCGGCCACCAATAATGAAGTCGAGTACGAGACTCTGATCGTTGGACTCCAGCTAGCCCGTAGACTCGGCGCCCAACAGATCCATGTCCGCAGTGACTCCCAACTAGTAGTACGCCAGGTTCTTGGTGAATACGAAGCCAAGGAAGAGACCATGCAACGGTATCTTTTCAAAGTTCATC